TTCCCTACAGCTTTGGAGAAAATATGGTGGACATGTTATATGAGTATTTAAAAAACTGCATGGTTGTTGACATATGCAAAAAAGTAGCTACTTTCACATTTAATTTCTTCACACAGTCACAGAATGCTTGAGGTAGGCAGAGTCCTCTAGAGGTCATCTTGTCCAACACCCTACTCAAGCAGGACATCCTAGAGCAGGTTGCTCAGGACTGTGTCCAGACAGGTTTTGAGTATCTCCAAAGAGCAAGACTCTACAACCTCTCTGGGAAACCTGTGCTAGTGCTTGGTCACCCCCCACAGTGAAAAAGTGTTTCTTGATGCTCGGTGGGAACCTCCTATTTCAGTGTGTGCCCATTGCCTCTGGCCCTGTCACTGGGCACTACTGAAAAAAGCCTGGCTCTGTCCTGTACGCCCTCCCTTCAGATATTTGTACACGTTGATGAGGTCCCCTCTGCACCTTCTCATCTCCAGGCAAAGCAGTCCTAGCTCTCTCAGCCTTTCCTCTTAGAACAGATGCTCTCGTCCCTTCATCATCTTAGTGGCCTGTGCTGGACAATATCAAGTAGCTCCATTTCTGTCTTGGACTGATGAGCCCAGAACCAGACACGGTACTCCATGACTTCAGCATTTGTGTTTCTTGACCTGAGCGTTTATGCTGTTTGAAATTTTATATCTGTGAAATCGGCTAGGATATTTTTTCCTAATCTGTTGAAAAATGTTAGCAGAGCTTCATTCCCCACATTAGTCACTCGAGTCAATTGCAGTCATTTCCAAGAGGTTTGTATAAAATCATTAGAGCTTTGTAATTGCTTGCAAGTAGCTGGAATGCCTTTTCTTTTGCAAAGAAATGGGACAGATTCCACAATAATTTTGTAGTGAAAGAATCCACAACTTGATAAAATCATTAAATGGCTAAAGTGATCTTTTTATTTTAACTTTTTTTCTTGTAGTGCAAAATTTCAGTTTCCAAGATTTTATTGGATTTTGCTAATCCAATCTTTTATGACCTTTTCCTTGAATATAATGGTGACAATGGACAACAATATCTTTTGGCCGTGCCAGTTTTAAACTTGAATCTTCAATACAGTGAAATGTTTGTTAATCAAGGTAAGACGGTTATAATAACATTTCTATGAATTTAAATAATCTGAATAACTCCAAATAGAAAGAATTTCTATTCATTACTGTTACTGAGTTGTTTTTAAATATACCACAACCTACTGTAACTTGTTTCTGTTTTAAGAATTTTATATTTTGTGGGCAAGTTCTGACAGCGTTAAATGCAAGTTTTGGTTGCATACACCAGCCCAATCAATAATATGCACAAATAAAATAATCTAATTTTATTACATATTTGTTTAAGTTGAAAATAAATAATTTTACATCCTGAATACAGTTATATGTATCGTACAGTTGTAGGTATTGTTTCTAGTAGATTTCATTCTTTTTGTTTTTTAAATGCTATGTGACTGTCATGTTTTTTCAAAGGTAGTAATATGAACAACTGGCTTTTGACTCGTCGATTTTTTTTGGTGGATACGCTAAGTGGAAAAGAGAATGACTTGAGAAAACTACCAAGAGTAATTCGAATTGCTAGCAAAATAACAATAAGGTGATTAATTGCATATAATATATAGTCCATAGAAAATAAAGCCAATTTTGTGCAGTCTACATTTTATTCTCTTAAAAGAAAGTTGGTTTACTATGTTGTTTCTAATATGTCCCATGCTGCTTTTTCCATTTTGCATAGTAGGAGATAGCAAGAGTTTCCATAGGTTGTTCTGTTAAGAAAACATAACATTGTCTTGTGGGGGTTAAAATTACTGTGATGACTTTCCAGGTAAGACAGATCAGACTCTGTATGCATAATGCAAGTTAGCAGGCATTCAGTCACCTCTTAGAAGCAGATGTCATCTGAAAAGACCTAAAAACTCCTCTGTTAATTCTTTTTCAGTGTGTATGTTACTGCCTGTACAAGGATGCTATTTCATACTCCATATTATTTTTTGCAGTGTTTTTACACACTGTTGCCTGTTCTGTTGTGCAATACAGAACAGGTTTGTAGTCATTCAACCGAAATTCTGAGACTACCTGTTGGGGTCATTACTGAGAGCTCATCTCAACTGGAATATGTTTTGGACAAACCTTTTTTTGTCTCCTTCTTTACATAATGGAGATGACCGTCTAGAATTTGAGATCTTCCTTTTCCTTCAGCTCTTCTTCACAACTTACTAGTTAAAAAGATTGCTGAGTGGTGCTGAGTACTGATCCATACAAGTAATCGTCTTGAAGACTGATTTCATCTACTAATTCCATTTGCTGAGCATTACATATTGCATTACTTCAAAAATAAAGATTAGCTTATGTATGTTAGGAGAAGTCCCTCCTATCCCCCCTTGGAAAAAAGGATAATGCCAGAAATTCAAAATAAGTATAGAAAAGGTCATTCTGTAGTGTTTTGAGAAATGTTACCTTTTGAAATTGACTTTAGTTGCAGCTATCATAATGTGAGCAGTAGGTAAAGATTGATTCAGGTATTTTCACACAAATAAGCAATCCTTCCCAGCTTTTTCTGTTTATATATTTGTGTACCTGCCTTTGTACACTGATTGCTTTTAAAATGTGAATTGCCATGTCATTGGGTTTGAAACTCACATTTTATTGATCAGGTTGTTCTGTGCATTTAGTATTTTCTTATTAGTACAACTTTCAATCAATACTTTCCAAGCAACTCATCCGTTTTCTTGGGAACAGACTGCCCAGAGATGTTGTGGAGTCTCCTTCTCTGGAGACCTTCAAAACCTGACTGGATGTGTTCCTGTGCAACCTGCCCCAGGTGATCCTGCCTTGGCGGGGGGGTTGGACCAGATGATCTTCAGAGGCCCCTTCCAACCCCTACCATTCTGTGATTCCGTGATTCTGTGATTTTCGGTATTAAGAATAATACTCTGTATTTTTGCAGTATTCGTCTGGTGTCCCATACTCAGAGAGGAGCTATCTACCCTCCTCTACTTACTATTGCTTATACAGATGTGCTTGTCCAAAACCCTGAAAACCAGAGTGTGATGGTGAGATCTTTGTGCTATCTTAATTGAAGTGATTTGTTAATCATGCTGTTAGTTCTGTTGGAGTTCCAGTTGAGTAAACATTTTGGGTGGAGTTGTAAAAATCTAATAAATAGTTTCTAGTTCTCCTCAGTTTTGAAGTTGCAAGTTTTTGCTAAAACTTAAAGCTTTTAAAACAAAGCAGTTAAAAGTATTTTCTTTTTAATTTATCTTGAATCTTTTTTAACTTTAAATACTTAGAATTTTACAATTAATTGTACAATGCTAAATTAGGCACAGTTCAAATAAAATTACACACATAGAAAATAAGAGGAAACGTACTCTTCATGCAATGCACTGAAAGCAGCAATTTATGCAAGAAATTTAATATTTTTATTTAAACCAATGCATTAAGCAGAGGTTGTTATGACACAGACATTTCAGGTCACCTGTAGTTTAAATTAAAATATTGGTAATATACCTAAAACACCTTGTAGTGCTTTATCTGCTATGTATTATTTTACAGCACATCTCTAAGAATTAAAGTAATCCAAAAATCCCTAGCCAGAGGGGTTGGAGACCAGTTTGGGGGATCTTCTTCTACTGAAAGCCACCACGTTCTGCTGTAGCAGATGCAGAAGGGGCATTTCCTACTTGCCCTTTTGCCTGCCATGATGGGCTGCAGCTCAGATGTCCCTTTCCTGTGCTTTGTTTGCTTGTTAGATCACACTGCTTTAAAAAGGGAAAATGTTGAGCTTAGTATAGTAGAATAAAAATTTTGCAATTAAAAAAATTATAATAGTAACATTTTCTGCTTATCAACCTTACAGTTCAGACTTCCAGTACAGATAGACATCTAGCTAGAAATTTCCCGTGCTAGAACTATTCCTTGCATTCCATATTAGCTGGATGGAAGGAAAGAAGAGACGGAATTAGAAAGATAGAAAAATTAGTCAGACACTTCTTCCCTGCCAAAATGATGTCTTTATTTAATCACAGAAACAGCCCTGTTTTTAGAAAATAATTCATTCAGATGGCGATGGCAGGAACAATTGTTTTCAGCTTCTCTATTTTATGCTATAGTATTTCATCCTCACATCTACATCTGATGTACTTAGGTGTTGTCAGTTTTGGATGTCTTGTTGCATTTAAGAAATTTTATGCAAGTAAAACAATACATTGAATTTTATTCCAAGTTCTGTAAATACTGGGTTTCTAGTAATTGAGCATATTTAGACTTAAATTCAAGTGAGGTGATAGAATGAGCTCTGACAGAAATAGATGTTTTGGGAAGCAAAGGAGAAGGTATTTGGTTTGGTGGGCTTTGTCCTTTTTTTTAAACTGAATGTAAAATACTATTCGTTATCATACTTGTGTTAACTCTAGCCTTCCAGTGACAAAGGTTCAGGCCAGAATGTTATAAAACCAAGACAAACATTTTCTCTTCTTGAACAAATATTTTAGACTAAATTCAAAATAGGTCTTAGGTTAGAGAGATTATTTAAGCTAGAGGGAGCAATTTTGATGCTGCATGACAGTTTTTCATTCAAGCTGGGAAAAAAAAAGGTGTCTGAGCTATGTGGGAGCTCACTTTGTGATTTTTCATATTGGTGTAATTACATGGGAAAAAAAAAGGTGTCTGAGCTATGTGGGTGTATGAGCTATTGTGATTTTTCATATTGGTGTAATTACGTTGAAGTTACTTTTAATCAACTCTGAAAGGGAAGGTATCAAAAACATTTCTGGTTTTTAATCAACTCTGAAAGGGAAGGTATCAAAGACACTTCTGGCATCTCCTTTTAGAAGGAAAAAAATTATGCACCTTTGAAAGGATTATAATTAGGTACAGCTAGTAACTTGCAGATAGCAGGTATCCATCCCTAGCATTACTGTTGGTAAAGTCTGCACTAAGTATAGCAGAGCACATGCTAGCACTAAGCCTAGTACTAGCTTAGCACACCAGGTCAGATGTATACAGTTAAAGAATGTGTATGTTGTATTTATATAGTAGCCCTAGATGGGAATTCCCACCAACTACAGGTGTGAAAACTACCACTTTCTATAATGATTGTAGCGTCTCAAGATTTCTATGCATATTTACATTCTGTATCTTAATATTCAGGTTTCCTTCTCAGTCAATTATGAGATGAATCAGTCAGAGGCTCAGGTTCAGACTGATGTAAGTTGTATTGCTCTTTAATTTGTCAGTATAATGATTTCTATTTTGTGGTTTTTTAAACTATCTGCAAATAATTTTTCATTCTCTTCAGATCACGTTGGGTGTGTTGGGTGGTCTTGCAGTGTTATGGTCCCTTCTCAAGACTGCAGGCTGGAAGAGGCGTACAGGAAGCTCTATAATTGACTTGCAGGTATAAACAGTTGGTAATCTAAAAAGGGACACATGTCCTTCTCTTCAAGGAGATCTTTGCTATTCAGATCACGTTGGGTGTGTTGGGTGGTCTTGCAGTGTTATGGTCCCTTCTCAAGACTGCAGGCTGGAAGAGGCGTACAGGAAGCTCTATAATTGACTTGCAGGTATAAACAGTTGGTAGTCTAAAAAGGGACACGTCCTTCTCTTCAAGGAGTTCTTTGCTACCATTCCCTGTGATATAACTATTCTGTTTCTTAAGGTAACTGAAATAATTTCTAGCCTAGCTGCACAGAACTGTGACCTGGAGTTAGGCTCACTTGAGGAAGTAGGGTTTTTTTCCTTTTTTTTTATTCTGGTGTTGTCATTTAGGAAATATTTTTGCTAAAAATAAAGGTATTTACAGAGCTGTTCTGATCAATTGAGTGACCTTAGTTTCCAGATCAATTCTTCTTTGAGTAAAGACTAGTATGTAGGAGTTTCAGGTACTGAATGTACTGTAAATAAATGACCATAGTAGAAAAATGTTGTTCGAGGCTACTTTTCAGTACTAGAATTTCCTGTAGCGTGGGCTGCGTACCATTTTATATGAATGTACATATGCACTACTTAATTAGTTTTACAGATCTCTACAGTGTGTTTTTATAATTGCAGACGGTTTTCAAGTTCTTACTATTTTATGCTGGAGACCTTGCCAACGTTTTCTTTGTCATCACCGTGGGCACAGGGATTTATTGGCTTGTGTTCTTCAAAGTAAGTGTTTTTCAGATTTGGGTGTTATGAAAACCTATTAATATTGCGTATATTTTTACACAGAAATTAATTTTCTTTCTTTTTTTCTTTCTTTTTGCTTTTCTGGTCAGTCTATAGAGGCAAGTTCTGTATCATATTCTGGTTTGTGTGCTTATATTTTTGTGTTCACATGTTTCTTTTCCTTAGAATTCATTGTACTTGCAGTCTTCTTAATAGTCACTTAAAATATTTTACAAATCCAGAATGGTTGCACATTAAATATTTATCTTTTTCTGCAAAATGTTACTCCCTCTTAATGTTGTTACATATGCCATCCACACTGTTTCAATGTAACTTCTCAATTATAGGCGCAGCAGTTTGTCTCTGTCCTTTTACCACTTCCATCTCAAGAAGAAGATTTTGTTACATACATAGCGTGTGCGTTTAGTTTAAAGGTAAATATTTTTTTCCTCAGGCATTAAAGACATTTCAGCATATGCTTCTGTTATATTTTCAGTAGGCTTGTTTTTAAACATCTTGTACAGTTCATTTTATTAGTGTATAGACATAAACAATTATTTTAAGAATTAAGTCATTTTTCCATAGACATTTATTTTGTGGAGTCTTTATAGGGAAACAAATGTCTAAGGAAGATGATCTATGGAAAATTATTCTTTCAAGAATAAAGGTGCAAAGAAACCCAAATAAAATAACATGATATCAAGAAAGTAACTGCTTTCTTTTAAAGCAGAATATAAGTGCTGTCAGTGCCCAATTAAAAAGGTAACAGATTAAAATAATTATATTCAAGCATACTTGTAGGATTCAGAGATTGGTATTCTGTCTTCATGGGACATGCAAATATTTTATTAATCATTGGCATTATATTGAATTGGAATTCCTAATATAGGTGAATAAGTTATGCGAAAATACTTAGTCAGTTTTTTTGGAATTTGTTACTTTGCTTTATTTTCTTCAATATTTTGGACATTGTCACATGATTTACCATTACTCCAAGTTTTAAAATTTTTTTTAAAAGATTTATCAAAAATTGGTAACAAAGTTGCAGTCTCAAGTCAAGTATATTACTTGTTATGTTTAATGAATGACATGTGCAATGACTGTGTCTTCATCTTTGTCTATATGCAGCTGCTGTCCTTACTTGTATGTTTCTCCTTTTTCTTTCTCAGGCTCTGCAATTCTTACAGTTGCTGGTTTCACAGCTTACTATAGATATTTTCTTTATTGACTGGGAAAGACCTAAGGGCAAAGTTCTTAAAGCAGTTGAAGGTAACTCAAACTATGCTTGTTTGTGTAAACAGCTTTGGTTAAATTTGGATATTAGTCTCAAGTATTACATTTCAGAGCTGTAATATATGTATTCTTTTTAGGTGAAGGTGTTATTAAAAGTGCTGCTGCACCTGTGAGCATATGGAGGACATATTTTGTAGCAAATGAATGGAATGAAATTCAGACAGTGAGGAAGATAAATCCCGTCTTTCAAGTGTTTGCAGTTCTTTTTTTCTTGGAGGTATTATTAATAAAATTATCATTGTTATTGTTGTTAATTTTTTAATTACTCACAAGCAGAGTGTAACATAAGGGTCTGTTTTTTAATTCTTGCATTCTCTGTGGTAATAGTGGATGACTTCAAGTTCACTTGAAAACATGTGACTTAGTAAAATAATTATTTTAATACATTTTTTAATTTATATGTATGTATGTATAGGTCATTGCAATATTTCATTAAGGAAGGCTTAAAAACCCCCAAAACCCAACCTTTAATTACCTTGGAGACCTTTGTTAGTTTTCGTTGGGTTTTTTAAGGTAATGAGTTACCCTAAATGGCTTAAGAGACTGATAAATCTGTGTACAGACTAAATTCTTTATTTGCCTACTGGCTTCCTCCTGCCACAGGATACAGCTTTATTTCTGGTTTCATATTTGTCTGAACTGAGCTTCCTTCCTGCTAATTTGCTATAGTGACCTTTTATAAAGCAGGAAATGAAAAGTGCCAGTTCTGTTCCTGATGACATAGCACAAGGCAGTATGCCTTCAGTTACAGCTTAAGGATATGTGAGAAATTGTGCTTTAGCTTTTCAAAAACATTTTGTTTGTTTCTTCAGTAGTTTGGTAAGTACTTCTATTTTGGGAAGTATTCTTAAATTATGTAGCATATAGTTGCTTATGTGAGCTTCTTTTACATATTTTTAATACTTTTATTCATTTTTATATTTCTGTTTTTAAATTTTCTATTTCTCTTTTAAATTATATACACTAAAAAAACACTAGCTTTCCTCATTCACTACATCAATATTTTTACTGTTGGTAAATACCGGCTAGCAACAACTTCTGTGCCATGTTACAAAGAAGGAATGGGAGAAAAGAGAGCACATATTCTCAAAACTAACTAGTTTTGTCAAGTTACTCTTCATAGGCTCCTGGTATTACTAGAAGGGAGAGGCTACTCTTAGTAGAGAGTGATTAACATCTTGCTTTGTAATTCCTGCTATGAATTTCCCTCTGGAGAATTCTTTTCTTGCCACTTATGGTGGAGGAAGTCATGAAAGATACCCAGATAGGCTAAAATTGGTGTTTGTGAAAACCTCAGATAATCTTTATAAGTTTTATTGTCATGCTGGAGTTTGGAATGTAGTTTCCCTAGAAGTGTAATGCAGAGGGTAGATATGGCAGTCAGCCGCTCACTACAGGGAGGAACTTCGGTATTGCAAAACCTGTCTTCTTGAGGTACCAATTTTGAAAGAGTTACTGTTCAGTTCTCATTAATCACGGTGACAGGCTGTACAGTAGTAGAAAACAAGCCGGGAAAAGTCATAGTTGGAGGAAGTTGGAAAGCGTTTCCCTCCTCTCAGCCTCATGTCTGGCACCAAAGCAGCTGCTTGGTTGGTTCTGGTCGCCATGGCAGTGTTGACTAGACGGCTAGTGCAGATTGCACTCTGGCAGCAAAAGTGAGCTTTTCAATATTGTACTGGGTCTGGCTGTGATGGAGTTAATTTTCTTTATATAAAAACCCCAGAGAGTTCTGTGTTTTGGATTTCTGACTAAAACAGGGCTGATAACAACACCACTGTTTTGGCTGTTGCTGAACAGTGTTTGCATAGCATTAAGGCCCCCAGCAAATAGGCTGGGGCTGCGCAAGAAGCTGGGAGGAGAACACAACCAGGACAGCTGACCCCAGCTGACC